AAATAGTTGAGTCTGACAAGTGTCATGACATGTTAGTTATACAACTATTAGGTTATACAGATATTAGGCTACTACTACTCTTTATAGATTCCATACTTTCCCTTCTATAACAGGTCTTCTTGACTAGACAATAATAAGAAGACAATGTAATTCAGCTTTCCATTTTTAGGGAAGATCCATAATGTATAGTCTTGAAGGTTAAGTATTTGGAAACAACTACAGCTGACTCTAAAAGTAAGATCTATAATTTATAGGATTTCGAACCTGATGTGAGAAGGTATTGTGTGATCTGGTCCTACCTTTACCATCACTACCAGAGTGCTTAAGACAACTTGTCTCAGGGATCTTCTTTGGTTCCTTTGGTTAAACTTCCTGGATCCCTGAATTTTGGTGGTGCTCCATAGTACGTGGGGAAAAAAAAAAAAAACAAAAGTCAATTTCCCTTCTCTCTTCATGAAAAGAATGTTTCATTTTATTTACAAAACTCTCTGGAATGAGAAGGAGCCATTTGTGGTTGCTGTGGCTGATTTCTGTTGTGCTGAAGATGCTAGGAGACTGCATAAAACTCTGCACCCCTGGTGAGATTTTTCAGCCTGGTGATGCTCTTTCTAACCAAATTCAGGGGCAATGTGTTCTGGCAGCCAGTATGCTTAATTTTCAGGATAACTTTGCCAGACATGTTTAATAATGATGAGGCATTCCCCAGTGAGATCTTGGCCATTTGGGCTGAGGGTGTCCTTGCTCATAGACACCACTACAAAATGGTTACGGATACTCCCTGAGACTGTGGGACAATCCCATACTCGTGTTTCTATTGCTCTTTAGAACTGTTGACACTTGGTGAACAAAATAGGTTGGGTTCTCTCCCCTCAGATGGGAAGTGCCTCTTGAGGAGGAAAATATTCTGTCAAGCCCCGCAGATGTCTGAAGTAATTTTTTTTCCATCCCTTTTGGGATCTTTTTCCTTCAAAACACTGGAGGACACTTGAGAATCTTCTTTGCTATGTGTTTTTGTACCATAGAAGGCAGCAATTGAAGTCAGCCAAATCTCCGGAGGAGTTACCATCCTCTTAGAAAGAAACTTTAAAGTATGTGTGAAGCAGAAACAGAAGAAGAGAAACAGAAGACGTTAAGCCTTGAACAGTTTACTTTTAGACTGATTTTTCTTCTTTGCTCCTTTTGTGACTGCCTCTCCTTTCAAGGTTGCCTCAGACTTCTGTAGATCCAGGAGAGGCTGGATGGAGAGTCCACATTCCTCAGCTGTCAACACTGGTTCAGTTGCATCCCAGAAAACTTATGGCCAATCCAATGTAGCAACAGTTGTGTATGGGTCTATCTTCCCCGCAGAGCCCAGCTGCTGCCCCATCATGACACATGAAGTCCCTTGCCTCCCTGTGGGTGATTTAAGGCCAAGCAATCAAGCAGGGTTTAACTTGCAAGATTGAGCTCAGGTTTCCCCTCGGCCCAGGCTGGCAATCTATTTAGCAGTGATAATGCAAACTTATCACACCCATGTGTACTTACTCTCGCAGTGTTGACCCACCGCTCCTGGGCTTTCTCTTTGCACTGCACTGCATGTTGCCTCCAAGTTGGTTCAGTTTTTGCCCCACATTGTCTGTTCCACTTCTAACACATTTCCACACAAAGGAATGCTGTCCAAGAAAGAGTCTGAGGAAATACGCTGTGGTTTGCAAACTGAATTCCTTAATGACTTTCTCATTAGAAGAGCTCACTGCCAAATGCTGTTTGTGTTTGCCTAAAGGACAGTCTGCATGATTAAGAATAGCTCAGCTTTACATGAAGCATTGTTTTCAGGCCACTGCCACAGGCAGCTGCTTCACACTAGGCAAGAGAGAGAGAGAGAAACTAATGTCTGTGAATGCACAGAGCAATCAAGTGACATGAGAACTGACGGGACATCCCACCCCAAATTCCCCCCTCCACAAGGGCTGGTGCCTGTGTGGGTGCCGCATGTTCAGTAAAGCCAAGGCAGGGCCTGGGTCTTGCAGCAAGGGGCAGCCACCAGGGAGGCTGAATTCCAGAGCAGCTCTGCTGTGAAAATATTTCCTGTGAGAACACGCAATCCCAAGAAACCAGGAGTAGCAGCAGCTCTGTAGCAGGGATGGATTTCATTTGTCTGGCACATCTATTTCCAAGACAAGCCTCTAAATGGACATCTTGTCATTGAAGATTGGTGATGAGGCAGCGCACCTCAGCTGCAGCAAATGCACAAAGAATATTCTTCTGCCTTGAGCTTTTTCCCCAGCTGTGAGAACATACGCCCACCTGGATTCCTCCTGCATTGTCTTATTTTCTTTTTTTGATCCCATAAATCTGAATCTCTACATAAAGTAAAACTGATAGAAAAATTTCATTGCAAAGGTTTTTTATTTTACTTATTGTGTGCTGTCACATCTCCTATGGTCTTGTAATTGAGCGTTCACATTCAAATTCAGCTTCTTGTCCCTAACTTCCTATTTTTAACAGAGAGATCACAACTCATTGTTTCCAGAGCAGGGCTTCGGAAAATATTAAGAGAAAGAAAAATCCCCAGTGATTTCATTTGCTAATGAGGCTTTAAACTAATATCTGGACAAATAGTTTGCACAAAAAAAGGCCTCCAAGCCAAAAAGGGCTTAAAGCCAGGCAGGGGAAGAGAATAGTTCAGGATTAACTTAGTGTCTTCTCTGATCTCCAGTATTTAGATTTTATTAAAAAAACAAAGAATAATGGAGGGATAGATTCTGGACCTAAAGCCAGTCACGAGCCTGCACATACATACTTTGCACCTGATGAGTCAGCAAGCCTGGCTGACACTTGTGTCAGAGATGGCAAAGAACTTGTCTGTGGGTCTCTATGCACTCTAGCCAAGTGAAACCACCACACCACCACTTGCTTTGCCCATTGCTATGCTGTATTTCTCACCCTTGAGAGTCTAGGATTTCACTATGCTCAAAAAGTGTTTGAATACAAGAAGGCAACCTGCCCGATGGCTAGTAGGATCATCTCTAATGGCAGACACTGCTCCTAAAAGCCCATGCATAGAACACTTCATCCTCATAAAAATCAGTTCTGAGGGTTGTGGAGATTTTTTACATTTCATTTTATTTGTCTTTATACTGGAGCAGATTGCACCAAAGACCAAGTGGTTACAAGCAAGAGCATTTCTTGGACCTATTTACAATGTTAAGACCCAGACCTCCTAGTTCTGCAGCCAGTTCCTAACCCACAATGCCACAGCACCTGCCCTTCTGCCAAGAGACTGGACCTCTCTCTGCCCTGCTTACCACATCTAAAACTTGTGGCTAAGAGGAGTGGTTTGCGCTCTCCTAGTGCTTTTTCACCTGTATACTTCAAAGTGTTTCTTAAAGTGGATATACATTACTTACCCACATCTACTATTGACCTAAGTATAGAAATTTGAAACAATGCTTACACCAGGTGTAGCATGGCTGGATTTCACCAGATAGTATTTGTGTTCCCAGCTTGTTGTGCCATATCACTTAAACTCTGAGCTTACAGTGTGTGATATGGGGGGAAAAAAATAGGTAAAACTTCTGGTTGCTTCCTTGCAGTGTGCAGTTGCTGAAGTGCTCGAGATCTGCAGGCACTAACACCTGGCTGCAATGAGAGAGAAATAGTAAGGGCCAGTTTGGTACCCAGCAGTGATAAGTTCCCTCCCCGTGGCAGAAATGTTTCAGAGACTGAGTTTGTCCCATTTCCGATTGGAATCTCTTCGACCCCACTTGGCCTCTGCAGGAGGGAAGGGACAGGCCCCTACATTGTAGGGATCAGGCAAGTGCCTGGATCTGAACCAGAGTGGGAGGAGTCTGAGAGGTAATGAGAACGAGATCTTCAGCTGGATCTTTAGAGATGCCTTATTTCAAACATCTAATTTTCTAGACACAAGTATTTTTCCTCCACCATTTATTTTCTCCCAGGTTCAATGACAAAGCCCAGTGCTGTGCTTTGAAACAGTACCAATTTCTGGAGCACACGGCTCTCCCTGCTTTGCTTCTTGCCTGAGCCAGAATAAGGGTCTTCCTAGCATTTGGAGCAAGCGCAATGGGAGACAGTTTCATTACACAGATACAGGGCTCAAAGAAATGCCAGGCACAACAGGAGGTAATCGAAAAATGATATCTTCAATAGTTTTTAAGAGAAAAAAAAGTCTTTCTTAATTTAAAATGTCAATTTTGACTTTTCAGCAAGACTTTTGCTCTATGCATTTCCAAGAATAGAATCCTGTCATGCTTCACACATTGAGTTATAACATGGCATGAAATAAACCTTTAAATGAAGCTTGACTTATGTATTTTAAGTTATTCCTTACTCTGTAATACCAAGAGTATTATTCTCCATTAGGAACTACAGACTTTCTTTTTTTTGCCATGTTATTTGTACGACATATATCTGGGATGCAAGAAAGAAGGCAGAAATTGTGAAAGTGGCTAGGAGTACATTTTTATTTTATACCTAATACTTCTGGAGTTAAAAGGGAGATGATGGAAATTGGTCATGTAATGGATCTTAGCTATAGAGAATTAACATCTTTTGGTAATAAAGTATTGCCTTTCTCAAGGGTTCACACATACAGCTTGACCTCAGAGCAGTTGCACATAATGTTTTCTCTGTCAAGAGAATCTGTTCATAATGATGTGTCACAGGTGCTCACACATAATATGTTTCCTGTCAAAACTGATCATCTGTATTTTATATAGCAGCTTTGATGACAAATATTTTGTACTTCAGCTGCTTTTTCTTCCCTCTGTCAGACTTAATGAAGGAAAGTCACGGCTAGTATTTAAATAATGTCAGCTTCTTATATCACGTTACTGTGTTTACCTTTGAAAGGAGCTTCATATAAGAGCCACAAGACAGGGGAGAGAGAGACATGGCCTTTTTCATTTACTTAACTTTAAAGAGAAAGCTAATTTTTCAGGCTCTTAATTGTAAAATTGCAAAAATGCAAAGATACTCTGTATCTTTGGGATCTCAGAATGCCGTTTATTGTCACAGTAGTGGTGTGTCCTGGTGGTAAAAACACTTTTCTCCAGGTTGTTCTACAAAGTGAGTGCCTCAGGGGGCACAGAGAATTGGGTTCTTATATTCTCATTGAAATTGTTTGTCTGCAGCAGGGCCAAAGTTTGCTCTTTTCCTATGTGTTCAGCCCTACTGAGAGAAATAACCCTCATTCCTCATTCTACTAATGAAAGAGGAAAAGTGAACTTGAATTCCCTTTGAGGTTTCTCAGATTGCAGGACTGGTCATTGAAACCTCAGAGCACAGAGGACTCCTTTTCACATTCATAGGTCATGTCTTTTCTGCAAAAACTGCAAGTGAGCAAAGTACAGAGGTATTCCTGAACTTCCCTGCCACCAGGCAAACTCCCCTGAGGTAGCAGAGAGTGGCAAGCCATGGATTCATGTGGGCTTCTGGTCTGCCCCCAAGGGATCCACAGAAGAGAGCTGAAAAAGGCAATTTCATTGTGTATACAAGCTATTTAGCAGTGTCTGCAGATAAAAATAAAATCAAAACACTAAAATAGACAAACAAAGTATAGCACGTGCATATTTATAAAACTGTCACTGGCCTGAGGAGAAGGCAGAACAGGAAACCAATAGTATTTACAAATAGGATTCACAAATGTAAATGAGGATAGGATTTATCTTACATATGAAATATAACCAGATGTCTCGGGTTGAGATAAAAGCTTACACTTAGTAAAATTCCTAGGTTTTTCATACAAGGCGAGGCCAAAAAAGAGAGTACACAGGATCTGAAGCTATTTGATGCCTAATTATTTTTCAGATCCAACTCCTATTTAAGAATGCAACCAAGAAGGAATTAAAAGTAGGTAACTACTTCTAAAGTACAAAAAGATGCAGAACTTTATTCTCTGCCACTGAGAAGTAATACATTGATTAATGTCTGCTACTGAAAAGATAGTCTGCAATATCGACCTCTTTTCTCCTACCCCCAAGCCCCTAAAGAAGAACTGAATAGTCTTAAGCAGTGAGTGTAATAAGTTTTCCTGTCCTTGTCTGAAGAATTAGAACAATTCAATTGAAAGGCAAATATAATCCTACCTATGCTCCATGCTGGGACTGGAGCAGGGTAAATGCCACAGTTAAGTCTGAACATCAGGTTGTAATTGTTAGAGATTAAAAACATGCCAGAAAGAACATTCCAGGGAAAGAAGGAGGGTGAGAAGGATGGCTCTCCTGTGTCTTTTTATTAAGGCAAATTAGTGTCAGATCTTACAAGAGCATATTCTTGCACAGCAGAACTCAATCAAATGGCATTTAGTCAACGAAGGAAATGGTACACTAGGTTGATTTTTTAATCATCCCACTAGGAAAAGCAGAGATTAATGAACATGTATTTATCTGCTGAGCTAAGTACATACGAGGCAGAAAAAACATTGAAAATAACTAAAAGAAAAATAACTTCTCCAGGACGCTGCTCTTCCATAAAATCTATTTCAAATATAATTTGCTGTTAGCTATTTCTGCAAGATGTGAGGACTTTGACTGAGCTTCTCATTTTTATGCAGATGAAATAATTGCTGAAATGAAATGTCAGGTCACAAGAGACACAAGAAAAAATGAAGCAATCTTTAAGACCTGTCAGAGGGGTAGATGGTCTACCCTTCCAAGTACAGAGGAACCATTATTTCATGGTCTTGTCTAATATCTTGTTCTCTCACCTTTTTTTTTAATGCTTGTCTTCTCAGTGCATCCTAACGTGAGCCAGGGTTGCCAAGGAGGGTGTGCTACATGTTCTGACTACAACGGATGCCTGTCATGTAAGCCCAGGCTCTTTTTTGTTCTGGAGAGGATTGGCATGAAGCAGATCGGAGTATGTCTTTCCTCGTGTCCCAGCGGATACTATGGGACACGGTATCCCGACATTAATAAGTGTGCAAGTAAGTGCTGGGGAAAGGGAAAGCACATGAATTGGTTTGTTGTCTCTTGAATGCTGTGTCCCCTTAGGAGTCAAGTCAACAGAGAAGCAGATGGATAGGCCATATCTTTATTTGTTCAGTTCTTTTATAATACTGCAGTAAAGACTAACCCAAGCAAGAAGTTAAGGTGAAAGATCACATAACGACCTAAAGCTCAGGGATTCCAGCTCTTCCTGAATGACCTGCCTAGCACCCAGGTGATGGTCTCTTCCTCTACACCCTGATACAGAAAGGAATCACCAGTGGGCTCCAGTAACTGCCCCACAGCAGTGAGAGGGAGCAGCAGCAGCTCTGATGAGCTGGGGCCAAGGGACGCTGAACCTCAGTGGCTGGAGCCATTTAACCCACTGCCCAAGGAGGGAAGATGGCAGGTGGCATTCTATGGAGGTGCAGTTTGCCCTGGTCTCCTTACAGCTTGTCTCACAGTCAGCATAGTCTTCTCAATGCCTGTAGCAGCTGGACAGGTTTCAACTGGCCAGGTTTCAACCTGATTTGGGGGAAGTTACCAAGTCATGTTGTCTCCAGGCTGGGATACAGAGATACAGAGAACCTAACTCTATTCTTTACCACTCAGGCAACATTTTGACCCCACTATGTGTTTTGAACCATAAATGAACTGGAAAAGATTGCAACGTCCTCCTCACTCCTCTTTTTGTTGTTGAATTCACTGTTTTTAATCCCACAGGTCATATAAAAACATGAGAGTGACATCCGAGAAACTCTCCCAGTTTTTACCTGGTAATAAAAGTTATTTAATGAATGGACCCCAGAGTAAAGTCTTACAGAGTAACTTGACGCTGTAAAGTATTTGCTCACTTTTTAGCAGTGTGTGGCCTTGCATATCAGATATGAGCTGTGCCATACACAAATTTTTATGTATTTCTTTTAAAAATATCTGAGAACTGGGAAATATACCACTGTTGCCAGTTTGGGTAGTCACATAAAGACTGCATGAAATTCTACAGGACATCAGATTGAACATCAGGGAATGATTTAAAAATGAAAAAGATCTTGATGCAAAACAGTCTTAAGCAGATTCTAAATTCTGGCATATTTTTCTCTCTCCTGGATGAATGGAGATAGATATTGTGGAACTGGCCCAGTACCTGTGCCCTGAGGGGTTAATTAGTACCTATGCCGTGTCAGTGTTGGGCAGAAGCAGCATCTTGTTATTCTGATGTGTTGTGCTCTGTCATCTGTTTGCATAGGTCTGCAAGAAGACATCAGTGTGAGGCCATTCAGCATCAGGCCATCCTTACTAAGTCCTCACTCATGCCAAGGTCACTTGTGGCTGTCCTCACTGTGTGTACAGGCCACAGAGAAGATCTAAATATAATTTGCTTTCTCTGAAGATTGTTTAATATTGCTAGAATTGTGTGGTTCTGGTATATGTGAGAGAGCCTATGGTGTTTCGTGGCAAAGAGCAACAACGTTGTTGTTTACTGTTTGCATTTCAGAATGTAAAGCTGACTGTGATACCTGCTTCACCAGAAACTTCTGCACAAAGTGTAAAAGTGGGTTTTACTTATACAGTGGAAAGTGCCTTGAAAAGTGCCCTGATGGGCTGGAAGCCAACAATCACACAATGGAGTGCACTAGCATTGGTAAGTCAGGTCTCTTCTCATCCTGCCTGGTTTTCTCACAGGGGATGGGGGATCTAAGGAGGGCATGACTTGTAAGATCACTTACACCACTGAGGAAGTGTAACTTAAAATGGAAATGTTCTACATCACAAGATGTGTTCCCCAGCACAACAAATTCAAGGTATTTCCCAAGTCTGACATTTCACAAGAAGCCCAAGCTCAGTTGTGCCCCACAAACACAGTCTCGAAGCTAAGGGCAGTTCTGCTTCAGGAAATAAGGTCTGTTTGGTCTGCACTGAGGTAGAATGACATCCACCTCTTACTTGCTCTGTTACGGTGTTATGCAGCACTGCTAACATCAAAGCTTCAAAAATCCTGAACCAGACCCCACATGTAGTTGCAAGATTAAAATACTAACTGCTTTGCTTTAGCTCCCTTGTACTACCTGAGCCTTCAAAGCATGTGTGCGTGAACATTTTGAAGCTTACCTTCACAAAGGTGAAGGTTAGAAGCTAAAACATTAAGGAAAAAGAAAAAAAAAAAACCAAAACCAAAACCAAAACCCCAAATTTGTATATGTGCACAATTACCTGACTCCAGAAATTGAAGATTAAAATAAAACACTAAACTGTGTGGCAGTGTCACTGAAGGAATGAGATTGGTGACACTGGTCCTGTGACTCACTGGCTCCAGAGAAGAGACCTGTTTTTGTATCTCTCCAGCCTCTGACTCACAAGCTCCAATTATTCACGTTGGGGCAATTTTAGAGGTCACCACACCTAACTGTCTGCTCCATCCCTCTGCCATCCCTCCGGCTGAAAGCAGAACGAGTTATATATTTGCCTCTAGGCCGCTGCAGTTGACATCCCCTGCCATGGGTATGCCGAAGCTGTGGCAAGGTTCAGCTTATTTTAGTACACCGGCTGTGAATTGTGGTGGCTGAGGGCTGTGAACTGCGGTGGAAGCAGTAACCTCTTCAGCCACCAGCAACCAGGGAGCACTTAGGCACAGTCTGGCCATGATGGTAACCTCCTCCCCCACAGTATCATGCACATAGCTCTCCTTGGCATTGCATGTTTTGTAGGAGAAGTAATGTGGGAATAAAATTAGTGTACAGGATTTTGTCATTTTCCTTCTCAAATGTATTAGTTCAGGTGGTAGTGATGGTTTTTACAGTTTTATTTTCAAGCAAAGACTTTCATCTCTGAAAGAAATTTAAGGGATAGTTTTTGTTTCTTGATGGCTGTTTCCAAGTGCAGTAGACTTAGCTGCTTTAACAATGAGTCAGTCTCCACTAGGAAAAGCCATTTAAAGCTACCGAGGAAAAACAGAACCTTTTTGTGCACGTGAAGGCCAATTATTTTAACAGGAGACCTCCAGTGTAATATGTAAAACAAAATGACCCACATGACAACTCACTGGAGGAAGGCTCAGAGGTTGCTTGAGGTCAGTTATATTTTTAGGTTTTGAAAAGGTTGGAAGTAAATTCTGGAGCTGGAAAGATGTTGACTTATAAATTCCTCATTATAGAGGGGCTGGAAGTCTTTCCTTCTTCAGCAGTGGTTTATTAGTCTTAAGCACGCATGTGAACACAAAGTAAATATAAATGTTTATTATTATTACTATTATTATTATTATTATTATTATTATTATTATTAGGACAAGGATCCTAAGTAGGCAGCACAAAAGAAGATCGTTATTCAGCTTCCAAGATTACTCCCATTTTTGTCTACACTGTTTGGACAAGTGTCCAGCTGCACACCTTTTGAGTTCCCAGTAGTACGGGATTTGCACTCAGATCACTGTGGTTTAGAAACTGTAACCCGCACTTTCTGAAATGCTTGCACCTCCCCTGACACAAATTCTCCTCTGCTTTGGCTACTTACAGCCTGTGTATGCTACAGATGATGGCTCTTTCACTATTTAAGCTGAATACCAAGCAGCAGATCACCAAAGATACTTGATTCTTAATGTAATGCTTTTTGATATCAGTTGGTCCTTTATAACTCTGTTTATTTCCAAATTCAATACCTTTGAGACCAGCTGCAGTAGCTTGACCCAGTGACTTCACTCTCCTTTCACATAGGCATGACCAAAATATAATTCCACTGAAGCTACAAGGATTTATACCTCCACAAAACAAAGGCAATCTCAGAACAAATCCCAGTAACTGATTTGAGATAAATTGTGTTGCTTTTGCTCTGTTTTAGAAATGGAATGGAATTATGAAACAGCGAGTACAAAATCGTAATTGATATAATGATTTCACATTATTTTGTGCAATATATCCTCAGCAGTCTGATTTCTGTCAATTCACTGCTGCAAATCCTGATTAATTCCATTGATTTTTGCCACTTTTTGGTTGATACAGAATAAAATTAATGTACCATATATGTTGTGTATACGAAAAGATATTGGCCAGGCTCAGCTTGTCCTATGTTTATTGCAGTGCACTGTGAAGCTAGTGAGTGGAGTCCATGGAGCCCTTGCACAAAGAAAGGAAAAACATGTGGTTTCAAAAGAGGAAATGAAGTAAGGGTCAGAGAGATCGTACAGCATCCATCAGCAAGGGGCAATCCTTGCCCAGCTACAAGCGAGAGCAGAAAATGTATTGTACAAAGAAAGAGATGTCAGAAGGAAGGAAAAGGTACCACGTTATCATCGTCATAATATGAGATTGGTATTGTGCTTGTTTAATAACTCACATCTGAATTCCCGGGCCTTGATTGCAGGCTTCACCAAAGCTCGCATTGATGTGGTGTTCTTTGGGATGGAGAGAACTGTGCCCTGGCCTGGAGTAAATAAAGTCCTAATGCTGCTCAAAAAAATGCACTTCGTGTGATCTAGAGAGGACAGGGTGGGCTGGATGGTAAAGGCACATTCTCTCTCAGTTCTGGTGAAAAAGCTGCCAAGGTGAGGGGTTGCACGTGGAGCTCAGAACAAAAAGATCCATTGTAAAACACATCATGATGGGAGTTGTTTGTTGGGTATCAGGCAGCCAAGTTTCACACTTCAGCTATGGGATTCCTCCAAATCAATTCCTATTTCATGCTTCCCCACAGGTAAGACAATAACTCTTGCAATTGCAGTGCTGTGGCCTCTCTCCCACCATCTTTTGGCTATCTCTGGCTGAACAATGTGGCCTGATCCTGCCATCTTCATCTGGCTCATGGTGTCCCAGCGTGGGAGAAAGACCACGACACTGCATGGTAGCCAAGGAAAACTCCACTTGCAGAACCACCCCTCCATGCAAGCCAGCTTGTTGGACTTATTCCTCCTTAGGGCACCTAGTGAATGGCATCCAACATGTTAGGAATGGGAGATGCTTAAGAAGTCTATGAAATAATAATTTATACAAATTCCACCCAATAGAGATTGTTGTTCCATTGTTCCCTTTTCTCTGCTTCTTGCAGCAGGGTAATTACTTGGTCTGCCCCCAGTCCAGTTACTCTGGTTGGCACAGGAGTGTCAATGGAATATTTCCTTTTCCCCATCCCTCCTGTTTTCCCCATCCTTTCTATTTCCCCCTTTCCTCCCAACACAAAACCAAGATTTCACCCCTTTTGAGAATGCATGAACAGATGGAGCAGCTGCCCCCTGTATGAACATATGTGGGCCAGCATGAGCCGCTGGTACCAAGTAGTAACCTACTGTTTCATTGTTAAATGATTGCTAGGGTTGCTGCAGATTACTTACAGAAACACTGAAGGGGTTTGGAGCTTGTAATCCTTTTGAAAGTTGGCTTGTTCCCTAGGGATATACCTCAAGGGAAGGGAAATAAAGTTAGAAGGAGGGTCTTATGAACTAGATAGCTACAGGTGCCTCCTCCTCACCCAAGAGCTGGCGAGATCTACTGATTTATGAGTAGATGTCACCTCCTCCTTCTTGTGTCAGGCAGTGCCTTGAAGAGGCAGAGAGGTGTATCTGCCTCAGGGGAGCAGCCAAGGCAAGCTATTTACTTATTCATTTGTGCTTAGAATCTGTGTCCAAAATGTCCATGCTTGCTTCTCCTCCCACACAGTGGCACAACTTGAAACACAGCCTTTCATTAGCCCACTGTAACTAGAGGAAGAGTCCTTTTTTTTTTTTTTTTTTTTTAATACCAAAGCTACTTTTGCCAGAGTTGAAAATATAGGACTGAACTGTAATTTTGGAACTGTGAAACTGTTTTTTTTTGAGGTGATAATGATGTTGTGTATTTTCTTACGGCAATTTGGCAATCTCTTCAGATTGGACAAGACGTTTCTCTTTGAGAAATGCCTGCTGTTCCTGTGAAGCATGTACTTTAGGAGAAACTACTCACGTATTTTACTGTTAATTCTTATTTTATGGGATTTGAGCCAAACCATACTTGAAAAATACTGTACACCACAAGAATTCGTTCACAATCATGAAGCTTTGTCTTTCTTTTTTTTTTTTCTGCAATGTGCATAAAGGTAAGGGTTGGGTTTTTTTTTCCTTTTATGCAAGTCACAGATTATATTCCAGCCTGTTTTACACTAAGTAGACAATTCCTTTGAAACCAATGCTGGCAGATGGAACCTATGTTCCAACTCTACCAGTGCCCTTGGGATTTGTATGTCTCTGAGAGCCATTTTTTTTAATGTTCTGAAATGAACCACTAGATACTCCTCAGTATCCACACAAGTCTGTCCCATTCGTTTTCATACACTTTCACAGGGAGATAAATTTACAGTTTAACAAAAAAAATGTAATTTGTAATAAAATTGAGGAAATTCACACATAAAATGTTATGTTAAAATAGCTTTAAGGGATGGATTATGGTGACAAGCCAGGAAACTGAGAATTAAGCTAAAAGTTTTCTTTCTGTTCCTACTGGAACGGGGAAATGAAGCTTTCCAAGTTAATTTCCAGGCAACTTATCTTCCCACCACTGCCCCTTATTACACAAAGAGAAACTTCTCTTCCCCTTTGAACAACAGAATAATTGCACAAGAAACCAAGCCGGGATCTGTTCTTCTGGCTACCTGCATCCTGTGAGTGCAGAAGGAGACAACAACAAAAAAACTTTGAGAAAGGGAAGGGAAAGTAAATATGTCTGCATTTCTTGCTCAGAAATATTGAAAATACTCTTTTGTATTGTACGACTCCCCCTTGCCGCTCAGGCATTGCTTTGGTGTTTAGCTTTCACGACATCAGCTTTTGAAGTCCAGCAGCAAACCCAGCAGTTACCAACAGTGCTGCTAAATCTTTTCTCCATGGTCAAGAAGACAGAGTTAGCTCGGTCAGCCTCTGCTGTTTCCATGTTGAGTAGACATCTGTGGCTGAGGGAGCTAGGGCAAAGACCACATGATGACGGGGTATCCTCGTCACAGATGCCTCAATGACTTTGCTTGAGATGTTGAGGTCAGAGACAGGATGTTACTCAGTTAAGTCTCTGCTATCGCACAGAAGCAAGGACATGTTTCTGGAAGGGCTATGCAAAACAAGATAAAATGGATGAAGAGGGTTTTTTTTTGTTTCCATCTGTTGGTGTGTCATTAAAGATGGTGAGCTCTATTACAACTCTTTTTTTTTTTCCCCTCACTAGCTATAAAATGAAGTTTTACTGGGAGAAGGTGTGATTATTTTCAGAATGAATGCAAACAAATGGGAATAATGAGGATACAAATAGCCTGACTAGTCTAAAAGGTTCTTTTTTTCTCATTTTAGCACTAAATTAGTTGATCTCAGTGTGTTCTGATGTGGTAATTCCCATGTGTTTCACATATAGGCTGCTTTTATAGTTCACTCCCATCCAAACCTCACTGTAATTTATTTCACAATTCTCTTCTTTTAATCCCATGTCGGTGAGTTCTTTCTAGTCCGCATGACTATATTTTCAGTTCCAGTTTCTACTTCTTTCTTTCTTTTCCTCACACTTTTTGTTTTTTTTTCCTCCAGTCCAATGCACAGCTACTTTTACCTTCCCACACTTAACAACCTCTTGGTTCCTATCTTTCACTGGTATACATACATTGAGAGTCATGTGTTTTCTGTAGCCACGTCCACTAATGGTAAATGGAAAGTGATGTACTGGAAAAGCATAAGTTACAGAGCTCTTCAAACACTGCAAATTATCCATCAACATTATTTCTTTGTCTTAATAAATGTGCTCTGGCCAAACACAAGTCCCTTTGGACTGCTGTCTGCAAATGTGTGAGATTGACTTTTACCGGCCAAAAGACAAATATCAGAATTACATACAAAAGTATTTGTGGGGAAAGAATTGCATGTTTTCATGCATGAGTAATTCTGCCAAGAAGAGAACATTCACCATATGACTTTCTGTTGAGTCCCAACTAAACCCTCCAAAGATCAGACAGTTTTAAGTACTTTCAGAGAACGTGTTCTGATCAGTTTGAAGAGACTAAAAACACTCACCAAAAGACTAAGTGGGTAGTTATGAACAAGGAAGACATCTTAGAAAGCTGGGTATTATGCAAGCCGATAGACAGGCTACACTGGTTACACAGTTGTATTGTTTTAAACTAATAAATAATACGTTTCAATTGTTGCTTGTTCATATATTGATTCACTTGCATGCTGTGACATTTAGATATTCCAAGGAGAGAACCAATATTAACTGTGTCCAGTTCTGTGCAAATGTAGATCAGTTCCTGTTCCTGACAGGCAAAAATTCAAGCATTACACATGGAGACATGGTGGGACAAATGCAGAATAGCATATTTCTTTTTCACTATGGAGTGTAGGAATTGTCACCTTGTAGAATCTGAAAGCAGGATACTGTTATGAAAGGAAGAGGGGCAGTTTTAGTCAAAATTCACAAGACTACAACCCTCTGGAGGCAAGGTAGCTCACCAGTTAATGGTTTGTGCTATAAGGAGAATACAGATAATTGTGCCGTGATTTTTTTTAGTGTACAGCAATAATAAGAGAGAAGGCAGTGTCTTTGAGATGAAGAACTGAATTCTAGATGCAGACTGTTGAAGAGAAGGGAACAGAATTTGTTGAGTGGTTTTAATGAGGAAGTATGCATATTTTGGAGAAATAAAGTAAAATAAATGCATTGCATACATGTGAATATAAAATTCCAGGTTTGATTTTAATAGTTTAGACAACTGAGAGTCAGATCACCTCTCTTGTTTCTTTGAACTAGTTTCTCCACCCCCTATTGCTATATGTCCCCATAATGCTTCAGACATATTAATTAGATCATGACTGAAGATATCTTCAGTTGGCTACAGTGTGAGGAAGGAATCCTATCAGGCATCCATCAGATTTCCAAAACCACCATTCAACTAAAAATCCCAAACCATTCATCAATAATTTACTTTATCTGAAAACAATGTAGCTTAATACTAACAAACTGAAAATACTAGGCAATAAACTAATTCCACTCACTTGAATTCAATGAGTTACCTATCCTAATGTACAGGCTCTGGTGCTGTATGGATCCATGTAACAATGGAGCACAGAGGGCTCTGGAGTCTAAACCAAATCGGCCCTTCAGCATTTCTCACAAGAAAAGTTTCTGCAGTTGATCTCCGGTTGAGGTGTTAATTCATTAACAATCAGTTAAGCTGTCCCAAGCAAAACAGAGAATGAAAAAGATAGCCCTTACTAAAAGGAAGATGTGTTAGTTGCATTACATTCTAAAATGTAGGTGGAAGTACAGTAGTGAAG